GGTGCAGGGGTTTTCCGTCTGCGCTTCCCCTATAAATATTCTACACGCAGAAAAGAAAAAAAAAAAAACACGCCCAAAGCCGCCCAGGAGCCGTGGGGGGGCCCCTATTTTTTAAAAAATCATCGTTGGTTTTTTAAAAGAAAGAAGGGGAGAAAAAAAAAAAAAAAAAAAGAGGAGGGGGGGGAGAGGGGGGGGGGGGGGGGGGGAGCGTAAATAGAAATGCGCTAAATTCTGTCTACAGCCACATCTACACAAAGCCCTAACCACAAAACGAACACACAAACAAAAAAGGACATAAGCAAACAAATCAGTAAATAAACTATTAGACAGGGAAGTTGAGAGAAATTACAAAATGTTTGCTAACCCGGTGTTCATAATTCCAGGTAGATTTGCTTTTATTATTTGATTTGATTTGAACTTCCTGAAGCCGACAGGAAAAGGTCAGCAGTAAAAAGTAAAAATAAAAGTATAGTAGGTCAAGAGGATTTAGTGAAACACTAAAATAGAAATATTAATGAATTTGATAGGTCAGGTAAGTTCAAACGGTTTTAAAGTTTTCAACAGTTGCATGGCTCAACCTTGAATTTTATTGGTCCGTTTGAAAAAAACCTGCAAGTGTCCCGGTTCGAGTAGTCGCACTGTGATGGATCTAATACAGTTGTTCGATATAAAGGAAATATACTCCTGGATTACCAGGAGAATATTGTTGAATTTCGGACCCAAAAAAGGGCTTCGCATCTTTGTGTCACCCGAGAACGTCTCCAAGCCAACCCGCGGTGATGAATGTCAAGTTTCATACCATTCATCCTCAAACACCCTAGTCTCCCGCTAAGCAGCCGTTGAAGCGGCCGGGGCACTAAATATCAACGTCAATTTTTTCGTTATGACTTCGCCGTAGTTGCGTTGTTCGTAAGTCGGCGAACGTCTGCCACCCACATGCAACAACCAATTTAAAAAGCGTTCTTTTAGATATCGACCATATACCTCGCATATTGACGGAAAAACGTATGGGCAACCGACATTCTCTGGAAGAAATCGCATGTTCCACATACGACAACGTTTTAAAAAAATATTGAAAGAGATAGATGAGACGAAGAGATGGAATGCGACAGGCTACCGTGGATAAAAGAACAGAATGATAGAAAAAGCACAAAGAGCAGGCGACGTATGACTGGCGAAAAAAGAAAACGAGACTCCATGGAGTTAGCCTGATTAGCTGGCGGGATTAGATCCCGCCAGTTACGCAGGCTAGACTGAAGTCGGTGGCCGCTTGTGACACGCACGCGCTTAAATTTCTCTCTTTGTACTATCCCTAAGGAAATTTAAAATAGCTATAGCTTAATTTTTTTAAAAATATAGCTATGCTTTTCCTATTCTACGTGTGGTGTCATATTTTGTGGAGGCTTATAATCTTTACACTTCACAGCTATTGAATGAGGCCTCGATGGATAACGCCCCACCATCTGCATA